AAGCAATCTTGCGGTATGTCCTTTAGGGTCTTTCGAAGTAATATGTTGCTACAGAGGATTGATGGAAAACGGGACAAAGGTGGAGAATGACAATAAGATGTTAAATGGCAGGAAGCAATGGCTTTATAAGTTTATTCCCTTCTGACGCTGAACTGAAAAGTCAGGAGAACATTGGAAAAACAGAGCTATTAAAGTTGTGTGAGAAGTTTTTTTTACGGGAAAGAATTTTGTTTGTTTATGAGTTGGGACGCAATTTGATATAAAGATAAGCTTTTTTCAGATTTTCAATTTAAATGTTAGGAAGTTAAGGTTTAAAAGATAATTTTTCCTACAAAATTAGGCTTTATTAACTATATTTCTATCAGATAGATTTTACTTTTGATACGGATTTATTTTTCAGAGAAATATGTATTTTTTATTAAATATACAGGGTGGTCCCAAACGAGACAAAGACACTTTGAGGGTTTATGGGAAATTTCATGTTGAACGAAAACGTACCTCTAAACAAAGGTCATATGAAGCTATGCTTCTATGAGAAAAAACGCAAATACCTCTAAACACCGTGTTTTTCATAGCTTTTTTCAAGAATTACTCCCAAATGGTTCGAAGTCTCAAAATATTCAACCAAAACCTTACATAAAACGATTAATTAATGTAGGCTTTATTAACTATATTTCTATCAGATAGATTTTACTTTTGATACGGATTTATTTTTCAGAGAAATATGTACTTTTTAGTTAAATGTACAGGGTGATCCCAAATGAGACAAAGACACTTTGAGGATTTATGGGAAATTTCATGCTGAACGAAAACGTTCCTCTAAACAAAGGTCATATGAAGCTATGCTTCTATGAGAAAAACGCAAAAACCTCTAAACACCGTGTTTTTCATAGCTTTTTTCAAGAATTACTCCCAAATGGCTCAAAATCTCAAAATATGTATCGAAAAAACTTATTCGAACAATAAATTTTGAATTAACTAATCTTTTTATGTAAGGTTTTGGTTGAAACGAAAAATTTAAGGTTAAAGTTAAAGGTTGTAGTGAGTAGTTGGTGTCAGAGAGGGTCGAAGTAACTATAGCTCAGAGCTGGTTAGAGCAGCGGCGTATTTAGCCGAAGGTCGTGGGTTCGAATCCCGCTCGTGACTTTTTCATTTCAACCAAAACCTTATACGTTGTGTATTAATGCCATGCTTGTTTCTATTGTTGGTTGTAGTGTATTAAGTGTGTGGCGTAATTTGATTTTCCGTCATTGTCTCTGAAGGATCTAAGATCCAATCGATTCAAAGAACATCTTAGATCCTTCAGAGACAATGACGGAAAATCAAATTACGCCACACACTTAATACACTACAACCACGAACCAAACACAATAGAAACAAGCATGACATTAATACACAACGCACAAAAAGGACTAAACATACCGGAGAACCTCGAGATATACAAACAAATAACACTTAAAGACGGAAAACTTATAAACGCACAAACAAACTCACAATCACACACCACCTTTACACCACTAAAAACACTTCATAACAAAAAACGAAAACGTTCAGAAGATCAAAACATCGCAACCAACACCAGGAAAAAACAAAAAACCAAAACCGCACAAATAATAACTGACAATGGAAATAATCGCCACCAAGACCGACCAACAAGCACGGAGACCACGCCCCCTAACGCAACACCCCCAGCGACAAGCAACGGACGCAATACTATATAAACCCTACTCAGACTAAATGAAAGACAGTTTTTCACTGAAGATGGCGTAATGCCGAAACGCGTTTGAATAATTTAAACAAAAAACCCGGGAGTGAAGACAGACCCAGTAGTGCCCGTGTGCCGGTTCAACACGATTTTTCAATGTTAACTTTTCGAAATAAACGTCGTAGGAAATTAAATTCTACGTAAAATGGGACTAACGCCAACCTCATAGGCACTGGAGCCATGATTTTCGGCCAATTTTCAATACTTTGGGTTGGTTAGGTGGGTAGTATCAATGTTGCTCCTGTAAATTGAAAGTACAGTTGCGATCCTTAGTGAAATGAAGCATCAATCATTCAGCACTTCGTACTAAGCCCTGTCCTACATGAAAGAGTGCAGTATTCCCGCAAATTCCGATTGACAAATTCGGAGAGGTGTGGTTGGTGGAGAGTAACGCTCAGCATAATCCTACTCTTCATTCATGTATAGTCTAGGCATTTTCAAGACCAACTAAGATTTTTTGTGGCCTTATCTTAGATATTCGGCCAATTGCAATGGCACGAGAATTTATCACTTACTAAATATCATACACTAGGTAGAGGGCTAAGTAGAACTATATAAATATTCTATCTACATATCCACATAAAAATAACATAAATATTTATGTAAATAACAATCAGGATTCCATAAATTAAATAATGTACAGATAAATAATGCAATTTGAGAAATATAAATAAATAATTAAATAACTAAATGAATAAATAAATAGATAAATAAATTAACAAATATCATTAAATACACTTATGTAAATGTAACAGAATACAAAGATTTCGGAGCACATCTAGCTTTTGCAACAGTTTATTCATCCAGATGGCATCTTTTAAAGAAGTCGTAAATGGACTTCTATTTTCGAGCAGCAGCCAGCTTAAATTAAATGGCCTCTTTATGTTTTTATGGTTTATAATTTTCAGAAACTTCTGTCTTTGGTCGTCATACACAACACATTCGTGCAATAAGAGCTCGAGACTCTCTTCAACATCACACGATGCGCTGTTTGGAGACGATTTGGACTTGTTTTTGTTTAGATATGCTCCATATATACTATGGCCAGGCCAACTGAGTTAACATAGATGACGTTCCCATGGTTTACGTCAGTTACAATGGCTCATGTTTGTTCTTTCTTCATTTGCCTTGTTTTCCTCCTTTCAAGCGATTTACTAATAAATCAACCGATGATAACAGTTGATGTTTTTCGCCTAACAAAATTCAAATTATACAAAAAAATAATCATGTCTCGGCAACGCTTAAAAACGTTAGTATCATTCTACTCAAAATTTAATGCTCGAATAGTTTATTTTGGTACGTATTTTGAGACCCGGAGCAATTTAGGAGTAATTCTTGAAAAAAGCTAAAAAAACACGATTTTTACACATTACCATGAATCCTCAAAGTATCTTTGCTTCGTTTGACCTATTCTGTATAAACGCTAAAATTTTATTTCATTTTATCAAGTTTCCGAGGCCATTTATTTGTCCAAAGATAAGTCAAAATGTTTCCATTGTTTGGATTGGGTTGGGCTACCTCCTATCCATATTCATCACCATCATCATCCAAACTCTGTGCTATAGCTTTGTTATTTTTTGATCATTTTAAATTCAAATTATGGCATAGATTTCATCGTGAAAATTAATTCAAAATGATGTGACGGAAGGCGAAGAGCCTCCTTTGAAATTATAAATCTGTACTGGTCTTGTGGTACCATTTTTGCTTCAAAAACAGATCGCAATTTTCAACTAGAATGAAAAATATTAAATACAAATCTTCTTTAAGGTCTTTACTAGGTGAAAGAAAGACAAAAGTGTTGAGATCATCAAGCTTTCGGCAACATTATGTTGAGGGGTACGAATTACGCTATGTCATCAGCGAATGCATGTTTAGGAATATCTGCAGTGTATGTTAGGAGTATCTGCTAGGATAGGCCATGTGAATAACCAATGGAAACTGAGGGAAGAGATGCAGGCATATGCCATTCTAGGTATGCCAACTGATGCCACTACTCCAAAATACAACTTCAACAAGAAGTAGGGCTGGTACGAGAACGGGAAGAATGGGCCAAAGGAACACCACTAAAGGCAAATTCCTACTGGTATACTGACGGCTCCAAAACCGACAAGGGTACAAGAGCTGGGGATCTTTGGGATGAACTTCAAGAGCGAACTGACGGTAAACCTAGGCAGTCTGAAATCATAGCGATCGAACAATGTGCGAGAGAGATAAAACAGCTAGGAATACATTCATGGAAGATAGCTTTTCTCTGACAGCCATGCAGCTCTCAGGGTCTTAGCCTCATGCGAGTCGTTTGGAAATGCATAAAGGCCCTGACGGAAGTGACCTGACTCTGGCATGGGTTCCTGGACATTCGGGGCATAGAGGCAACGAAAAACCTACTGCGGCCTAACAGCTTGCCACAAATGAGGATACATCTTAAAATGGATCCTTAATGAGTCCAAAACCAGGTTGAACAATACCACAGGTATGAGGTACGCGACGAGACTCATAGAAGGACCATCAGCAAAACTTACAAAAGAACTACTTGAAGGCAATTGCAACCGAACCAGGATTCTAGCTGGACTCCTGACGGTGCACTGCCACTTAAGAAGTCACATGCACTTGATAGGAGTACAGACAGAAGAAACACTGTTCTGATACTGACAGGAAGAGTAGGAGACCGCAGAACATATTTTATGTTTCTATGAAGGTCTATAGGTGCGGGTTCTTGCAACTTAGACAAGAAAAACCACAAGCAAGATCGTACACCAAGGAACCGCTGGCAAAGCTGTGGAGGCTGGCTAATAGCCTGAAGCTGGCCAGTAGTTATAATTAACAGAGGAGCACCATAGATCTATTTAGGTCGAGGTGCAGTAGGCCTTGTGACCGCCTCTCTTATCCCTATCCCTATCCCTTTGAGGGAGGACTTTTAATTTGCATTAAATATGTCAAGGCTGTTATTATTTTTTTCCAAATTTAGAGTAGATGTATTGGCTATACGCGATAGGATACACCGGACGGAGGTTATTGTAGTGTAGAATGGATTTTACTAAGATAAATTAATTAATTTAATTGCCATGATTTCAAATATTTTTAAGTATATTTTTATATTTGTTAACCGGGTAAATCATTTTGAAATAGTGATGAATGAGATTATGTCCTTCGAACACTTGACGAAGGACATAAGTTTTTCTTTTTTCAAATTCACCTTATCCCTGTTGTTTAAGACATAATTAATGATGTTTATTACCTGTTAGATAGCTTCGATAAGGAGACGTCCACGTCCACTCTGGATTTCCGACTTTTCTTGAAAACAAACACTCCAGGTGAAGAATCGATCCAGGAAAAACCGCTAGGATACCAGTCGACTCTGAAGATGCCGACCCGGAAGGTAGTCTGACAAGTATTGTCGGCGGCGAATCCTCTGAAACATATTGCACTCTTATATTCTCATAATTTTTTTGTAATTATTGGAAATTCGTTACAACTACGTTTAATCAGGTGAAAAATAACTATGAGAGGAAAAAACATACAAGATTGTTGAAACCATTGGTAGTAGTTAAATGAGACTATAATTTTGTCTATTTAATTAACGTCATAAGGAATATCTTTATAAAAGCTGTGAGTATTTGCTAAAAAAAACTCACTTTCCTTTTTAATTACACAATTAAGAAAAGCTGCTCGATTTTAATTAATTTTCGAATTGATAGTGTTTACCAATTCGTCAAGGTAATAAAATCGAAATACAGATTTTCTCACAATGGCAGGACAGGAAATAAGGTCGTTTTTCGATTCGGCAATTCGTTCTGGCTAATTTATCATCGTATGTATTGTCAATCGATCGAGAAGGGCAACAGCCAGGAATATAGGTGCTCCCCCTTCCTGGCCCAGAGTGACGGGAAATTCAATTCAAATCCTTCCATTCTTCCCTGGCCCCTTCACCTTTACCTTGTACGTGCCCTCATTCGACCGAATACACTGCACTGTACATTTATAGAACTGCATCGATACTGATTAATGACCCATTTTGTAATAAAATCCAATGAAGTATTAACTTTCATTTATTAAATACACTTTTCCTAGAGAAAAGTTGATAAAAAATATTTCCTAATGATAATGAACACGATTATCTTATTTTACAAATTAATTTTCTGTAAATCAGCTTTCTTTTCTATACTACATTTTTCATTGATATTTAAAAAACGACGAAATTAAAGCCTTGGTGTTAATTTAAGGGCACGTCTTTTCACCCGACTTCATTATTAAGTGAAGATTTCATTAATTATTATTAATTGACCTTTCTTTTCTTTATCATCATTGTTTTTGACCTGTAAGTCTTTGTTATTCTCGATTACATCTTTTAATTAGAATTCAGGGTGTTTAATTTATATTCGATTAATCGTAGTCTAACATTATCTAGTGACAATTTTACATCATACATCGACCATATGTGAAACGGCTTTTTTTGTCACTTTTATGTGTACTTCGAAACCTATTGTTTTACAGTTTTAGACAGACAAACTGTAAAAGCTAAAATGTATATCTACCATATTATGGTACGTCTAGTTATACAGGGTTTTTTTGTTAGTTTCAAGTAGACGTTGAAACCTAAGATTTTACAGTTTTAGACAGACAAGTTTTAAAGGCTACGATGAATGATATCTATGTTATGTAATCTCCAGTTGTAAAGGGCTTTTGAATTATTTTTACGTACGTTGAAACCTAGTTTTAAAATTTTATACAGACGAATTCTAATGACTCCAATGTATAATATCTACCATATTATGTTAAGTCTAGTTGTAAAATGCTTTTTGTGTTATTTTTAAGTAGACGTTGAAACCTATAGTTTTACAGTTTTAGACAGACAAATTGTAAAAGCTAAAATGTATATCTACCATATTATGGTACGTCTAGTTATACAGGGTTTTTTTCTTAGTTTCAAGTAGACGTTGAAACCTAAGATTTTACAATTTTAGACAGACAAGTTTTAAAGTCTACGATGAATGAAATCTACCATGTTATGTTATCTCCAGTTGTAAAGGGCTTTTGAAATATTTTTAAGTAGACGTTGAAACCTAGTTTTAAAATTTTATACAGACGAATTCTAATGACTCCAAAGTATAATATCTACCATATTATGTTAAGTCTAGTTATAAAATGCTTTTTGTGTTATTTTGAAGTAGACGTTGAAAACTATTGTTTTACTGTTTTAGACAGCCAAACTGTAAAAGCTAAAATGTATACCTACCATATTATGTTATGTACAGTTATAAAATGCTTTTTTTGTTATTTTTAATACGTTGAAACCTATAGTTTTACAGTTTTAGACAGACAATTCTACTGGCTGCAATGTATAATTTTACGTTATCTCTAGGTATAAAGTCCTTTTTTTCTTATTTTTATGTAGACATGGAAATTTACAGTTTTAAGCAGACAAATCATACTGGCTCAAATGTATAATATTATGTTATCTCCAGTTACAAAGGACTTTTGGATTATTTTAAAGTAGACGTTGAAACCTAGTTTTGAAATTTTAGACAGACAAATTCTAAAGACTCAAATTTATAATATCTACCATGTTATGTTATCTCTAGTTATAAAGTGCTTTTTTTTTGTTATTTTTAAGTAGACGTTAAAATTTCCAGTTTTAAACAGACAAATTTTACTGGCTCACATATATAATATTATTACAATTAATTAAGGTTTTTAGTTGAGATAAAAAAGTAAATGGTACGAGCGGGATTCGAACCCACGATCTTCGGCTAGATACGCCGCTACCCTACCACTTGAGCTATCGTGACCTCGATCCACTCAGACACTAACTTCCCATCTCAACCCCACCTTTTGAGTTTTCCCTCGTTTTTGCCATTTTTGAAATGTCGTGTAATCGGATTGGATTCTCGGCGACAAATGAAATGGCCACGGAGAGCTTTAATGTAGTATACTTCATTTTAATTTACTAAATTCGCTAATTTCGTGGTCCGCTTGACCAATTAATATATGACAATTAATTAAGGTTTTTAGTTGAGATAAAAAAGTCAATGGCACGAGCGGGATTCGTTTTTATCTCAACTAAAAACCTTAATTGAAAAATGGCAAAAAGGAGGGAAAACTCAAAAGGTGTGGTTGAGATAAGAGGTAAGAGGTCACGATAGCTCAAACGGTAAAGCAACGGCGTATCTAGCCGAAGATCGTGGGTTCGAATCCCGCTCGTGACACTGACTTTTTTATCTCAACTAAAAACCTTACTAAAAACCTTAAAGTAATATATTAATTGGTCAAGCGGACCACGAAATTAGTGAATATAATATTATATTATCTCTAGTTAGAGAGGGTTTTTGGATTATTTTTAAGTAGACGTTAATTTTTTGTTTAAATTTAAGTAGTTTTACAATTTTACAGAGACAAATTCTATAGGCTAAAATGTATATCTACCTTATTATGTTATGTCTAGTTATAAAAGGCTTTTTTTGTTATTTTTAATCGACGTTGAAACCTATAGTTTTGGACAGACAAATTCTAAAGGCTAATGTGTATAATATCTACCATATTTTGATATAATAATAATATCTTTATTTACGGAAAATATTCCTATTTACACAGTATGTATACATTACAAACCTCATAATAGGGGCATTTACAAATCTAACAGATACTTTATGAATAGTATAATCAGGCCTGAATATATACATGATTTCCTTCGTTGGTTCAGAATTGACAATAATACTTTTGTATATCAGTTTTGTGACTGGTAAAATATATCTAGTGGTTGTTTGCACAGTTTAGTATTTTATAAGCCCTTTTCACAGGTGCATTTTTCAAAAATTGTTTTTATGGTGTGCTTCATAAAACAACTGAATTTGTCTATTTCTATAGACAGGTATTTGAAATTTTGTCTCTTCAAGTAGAGAGGGGCATTTAATCATATTGTTACTTATTTTGAAAAATATTAGAGCATCAGTCGTTGATCTTCTAGGTTCTAGTGAATTTATACCTAATTTGGACCTCAGTTGAATGGTTTGGCCATCTGGTTCAAAACGTGTTTGCAGTTTGAGTCCACAGAATCTTAAAAATTAGTTTTCCACTTTTCTAATGTACATACATGATTAATGTAGTAGGGTGACCAAACAGGTGAGTTATACTGTAAGTGGGACCTGACCAAAGCGAAATATAGGTTTTTAATTACATTAATGTTATTTATATTAGTTACATTACGCTTAAACCTAGCATTTTTAGGCTTTTGTTTTTTGTATATTCTATATGTTCAAGGAACGTTAACTTAGAATCAAAAATTACCCCTAGGTCCTTTATGGAGTCTAGTGAAGAAAGTTTAATATCACAGATCTTAAAATCACCGATTAAAGGGCATCGCAATACGATGAAAGCGTATTAAATTACATTTTTTAATATTAAGTTCTAGGCAGTTTACTGAGCACCACGTCACTAAGTGATATAAATTCTGGATAATATCACAGTCGGTTATGTCTAGTTATAAAGGGCTTCTTTTTGTTATTTTCAAGTAGACGTTGAAACCTACGATTTTACAGTTTGAAACAGACAAATTTTAAAGGCTCGAATGTATGATATATACCATATTTTGTTATCTCTATTTATTAAGGGCTTTATGAGACGTTGAAACCTACTTGAAAAGAGATTAGTCGATCTTGATGGCCATGTAGAAAATTGTCCTGACACTAGAAAAGACAAAATGCCTTATTTTCCCGTGGTCTTGGCGAAAACAGGTCCATTTTTTTCTATTATGAAGCACTACTAGCAAGAAACTTTTTTGCTGATATTAGGTCGACAAATATTATATGGTCTGAGCGTTTTTGACAACTTAGCAGACGATAAAACAAATATTCTTGTTACATATTATTTTGTTTAATGTAGTTTCTTTTCTTTGTAATGCATGTATTTATAAGTTATTATAAATCATTAAAACAAGAAGAACAAGACGCCGAAAAGAAATTGCATTCATTGACGTTGGTGCCCTTTGATCTGAACGATGCGGCCCGAAACTTCGTTCTTCAGGCACTTCTTGATCAAAATCTTTTTTGAAGGGGAAACCTTGAAGTTCGCCAAAACGAACTTTTTGATAGCTTAAAAAATAAACCGGCTCGCTGTTGGCGATTTCTGATAGTTTCGGCCATCTGCAAATTGGAGATGGAGATCTTCACAGTCCAAGTTTTATGCCCTTTTTTCCTTCTACCTTATATTCCTTCTTCAAAGTTAATATGTGATAAACATGAAAGCCCCTTGATTTTTTAGTAAAGTAAAAAAATTGGCGATAACTCTGAAATCATTCCACTGATCTACAAATAACTTGTGAATGGATTTAAAGCAGCAGCATTAAATCGTCTAAGTTACATGAACTGCCATTTCTGTACCATTCGAAATTTTTCCGTTCTTAAACGGATTTATTAT